CCGAAACGAAATCCTGGCTACAGGCCTATGTCTATCTATCTGTCTCTCCCTATCTATCTATCTATCTATCTATCTATCTATCTATCTATCTACACACACAGAGACACGCACACAAGTTTTGAATAGCATCAGACCACCTGTGGTGTTTCTTTTGCTGTCCATGCCCCTGTTTAGAAGGATATGTAATTTTAGAAGGATATGTAATTTTACATATCCTATGGCTTCGTATGGTTGCCTACTTGAAAACCACCTTGAGTCCCCTCCAGGGTAGAGAAAGGCGTGGTAGAAAGGCCTTAAATAAATCTATATACATAAAAATGTAATGTTCGTTTGTGGGATTAACAGAACTCTAAAACCAGTGAGCGAATTGACACCAAATTTGGACAGCATACACCTAACAACCCAATGTATGTCCTTCACTCAAAATTTTTTGATTTTGTCATTTGGGAGTTGTAGTTCTTGGGATTTATAGTTCACTTACAATCAAAGAGCATTCTAAACTCCACCAAAGATGGAACTGAACCAAAGGTGACACACAGGACTCCCACAAAGCTCCTTCTTTGGAAGTTTTTCAACAGAGGCTGGATGGCCATCTTAACATTTTAAACAGAGGCTGGATGACCGGGTTTTGGCGCAGCTGGTTGGGAGTCTGCTACACTAAAATCATTACTGACTGAAAGGTCATGAGTTCGGAGCCAGCCCGGGTCTAGCTTGCTGTCGACCTTTGCAGCCCGAAAGACAGTTGCATCTGTCAAGTAGGAAATTTAGGTACCACTTTTGCAGGGAGGCTAATTTAACTAATTTACGACACCCTAAAAAAAACTCCAGCAGTATGGAAAAGAATGAGGAAGTACTCCATCTGTGTCACAAGTGGATGGTGAATTCCAGTGGCCAGAATTCAAAGCATACCCTTGTGAAGCTGGAATGTTAAATAGCCTCTGTGTTGTGTGTCTATGACACTGAATGTTTGCCATGTATATGTGCATTGTGATCCGCCCTGAGTCCCCTGCGGGGTGAGAAGGGCGGAATATAAATACTGTAAATAAATAAATAAATAAATAAATAAATAAATAAATAGTCGGGGGTGCTTTGAATGCAATTTTCCTCCTTCTTGGCAGGGGGTTGGACTGGGTGGCCCACAAGATCTCTTCCAACTCTACGATTCTATGAATGGTACAGAGCTTTGATGCCTCTTCAAACTACAAACTGCAGGACTCCACAGGATGCATCCATCGCAGTGAAGGGGAATGAGGACATTGTAATTGTAAATCTATAACAAGGATTTTTTTTTCATTTCTTACCTCTCCAGAACTGCTAATGGCTGGGAACAGTGTCTTGTTCAAAAGAGAAAAGTTGCCTGGGAGAAAAAGAGAAAGAAGGAGGAAGAAAAAGCAGAGAAACTCAGTCTGATCACTTTTTCACTTTAGTCCACTGTTCAGATCCACTGCAACCTAAAGCAACAAAGGACTGAGATGCGGCACTCTTTCACACTCCACACAGGTATTGACAATGTAATGTAATAGGGTTATGGGCACCTTCCTGCCAGGGTTGTAAGACAGAAGCCTGCATTAGATTTTCATCTAATTCACTAGAGATGTTTAAGTTGGAGGCTGGTCTGTTTTTAAATGTAAAGTGGAAACATTAGTTTTTATTGATTTTCCATAAACAAAATGCAATTCAGAACAGTAACACCTATTATAACAACACACACAAACTGATAGAAGCGATACAATCTTGCTCATATAGAATATCCATATTTACTGACCCTATTTCACACTCCCCCATAATACTGACTGTTAAAGGGGGGAAAGGTGGTACAGCGATGAAAGAAACATAGAGAGGCCTTTGCGGATAATTAATTAATTCCCTGAGCCTGACAACAAAATGCCAAACACTAAATTGATATATTCTGGCAGAATCGTATCAAATTCTGGTTCAGACCGAGAGTGGGTGACCCCTTGTAACACTTCCAGTTGGCACCAGTCAGATGGGAGATTGGAGATTGCTTTTAGGCTGCCCTGTCAACACAGACCCCTTCTACACTGCCATATATTCCAGTTCAAATCAGATAATCTGGATTTTATATGGCTTTTCAGAAGAGGCCACAGGGCTTCCCCACAGCCATATAACCCAGAATATCAAGGCAGTTAATCCACAATATCTGCTTTGAACTGGATTATTTGAGTCCACATTGCTATATACTCCAGTCCAATGTGGATTTTATACAGCTGTGTGGAAGGGTCCAAAGTTTACGGGAGCCACTGCTAAACCAGCCTGATTGCATTAGAGAAAATACAAAAATYGATTGCAAGAATGCTGCTCCAAGTTATTTCCCCATTAGAAATAATTTGGAGCACTTAGTGTCTACTGAAGAAGAAATGGGGGGGGGGGGACCCACTCTCCAGCCACATCTGACATGCATCTGGGTTGCATTTTGGAGGCTATCTTGCAACATTAAAGTTCTCCCAGACTATTAGATATTACGTGATTGAGATTTTCCATTATTATTATTATTATTATTATTATTATTATTATTAATAATAATAATAATAATAATAATAATAATAATAATATGTACAAATGTTTCAGTGGATAAAAAGTACTCCAAAAGCTATGTCGGAGATCTGGAGGTCTCCCGCCACTCTAATCCAGCCATCACAATAGCATTTTACCTGCCTCTGGCATCTGGCAGGTGCAGCTGTACAAGGTAACATCATTGATCTTGTAGTCCCAATTCACCGGGTAATGTTCCACTAGAGACAGCATCTTCTTAATAGCGTCGTAGATGAAAATGAAGCTGATGAGGGCACAAAAGCCTTCCTCTGTAAAGCGTGTGAAATACTGCACCAAATAACTGGCTTCCGTTGCCACCAGGATAAGGCCAAAAAAGGCCACCCACAGGCCAATCCAAAGGCGGAATTCTAAATAATCCAGGTTATAATCCCTGATGGGAAAGAGTAACAGATTGAGTAGCTTGAAAGAATGTGGCCAGAAGCAGCTATAGATTAATCAATCTCTTGAAAGTCTTGTCTTAAGATTGCAGCATGGTATATTCATGATAAGAAGTCACATTCCCAGTCCAGCCACCTCAAAAGCTAAATGATCATCTCCATACAATAGGAGATCCATAATGAAAACTTCCCACTAATTATTGATCCCTATCACCTTACATTTACACAAAGGTGATAAGAGATATTAACTATATATTTTAACTATATATATTAACTATATAAAGAACAAAACACTGAAAAAAGGTGAATTCCAGACAGGAAATAATCAGGGCCAGCTAATACCTCCTAACAAAAAATTACGCCAGGTAGGAATCAGTCAGGCTTTGAAGCTGCAAGGCCATTCAGTGCTAACCAAGGTGGCCATTTGCAACATTCACACTTGCCTCAAGCAGACAAGAGTTCTTTCTTCCACCCTGGACATTCCACAGATATATAAACCTTACTTGCCTAGTTATGAACAGACCTCACAACTTCTGAGGATGCCTGCCATAGATGTGGGCGAAACGTCAGGAAAGAATGCTTCTGGAACATGGCCATACAGTCTGGAAAACTCACAACAACCCAGTATCTCCATGGGTTTCAGGAAAAAGAATAATGTAGGTTTTCACACAATGTAAACACAGACTAATGTGAAGGCTTACTTACTTGCTAAAGGAAAAGAGGAGTCGCTCAAAGACAAGGACAGGCCCGGTGCTACTCAGAATGGTGAGAGGCTGACCAGAAAACAGGCAGAAAAATGCTCCAGCAAAAGCAGTGCCCAGGAAACTCTCCAGCACACCCTAAATCACAGAAAGAAGGAAATGGTTCTTTGGCTCAATGCGGGCTCCATGGCAGTGGTCAACTGACTGATCCCACCTTGAGGGCTTTACTGCACGAAGCTACTATTCCATGGCAGTCATGCAGTCACTGATAGTAGTGATAAAAATAAGCATCCTCATTATATCTCCATTTCCACCTGCATAATGGTACCAGTTCACAAAGCCATGTTCCCACACTAGTATTTATGCATATGCTCATAACCCTGCATCCCAAATTTTTGCTATTTAACCATTTTAATAACAATTTTTAAAAGTTATTTTGCAATTCCAGCTATGACTAATAATTATTTTAAAAGCTAAATGCTGCTGATTTTTTTTAAAAAAATTACCAGTAGAGAAAGAGTAGGAGAAGTGGAGATTCCCATGCCCCTGACATCACTTCAGCATTGGCATACCAGCGCAAAAGTGGAACTGCCCCACTCCATGAAAACATTATGAAATGGGCAGCTATTGATGGTTTTGCCCATCAATAGTGGAGGATGGGTTAATCACAGGCAGGCAGGCAGTGGGATACATATGGCTTCATGTGATAGGGATCATCGCCACTTTCTTTTTCTGTGTGTGTGTGTCAGGAGCAACTTGAGAAACTGCAAGTCGCTTCTGGTGTGAAAGAATTGGCTGTCTGCAAGGCCCAGATGTTTGATGCTTTACCATCCTCGTGGGAGGCTTCTCTCATGTCCCACATGGGGAGCTGGAGCTAACAGACTGGAGCTCATCCCACTCTCCCCAGATTTGAACTGCTGACCATTCGGTCAGCAGTCCTGCCGGCACAAGGGTTTAACCCATTGCGCTACCGCAGACTCCTATATTGCCAAAAGTGACTGCCTTGCTTCAATGCTGGTTTGCCTCCCTTATGCAATAAAGCCCTACATCCCAGGTTTGGGAAACAGGTAGATAGACATCAAGCCCTGGGATGGTGGGCATGAGTTTCCTCTCTATTTGCATGCATATGCAAATATTTGTACACACCACACTGGAGGCACAAGAACGCCACAGCTTGCTATTGCTCCAAGTGTGTCTAGTGTGGGATGATGACACAACTTGAGTCTGAACAGGCAGAAGAAGTGTAGCATCCACAAATGGATGGTGAGTATTACAAGGAGGATTTCCTTTACAGACCTGCATGTTATCTGTAGCATCCCCCAGCATTCCTCCAAAGGTGATTGCATTGGTGACTGTTGCCAAGTAGATGTAAAGGATGGCTGAAAAGCACTGGATGTTAAGGGCATCATAAAAATCACTGCAGTACCAGGGAGCTTTCCTCTGGATATCCTTTAATAGTCCTCCAAATAATCTGTAAGAAAAGGAAAACTTCCTTAATCCCATATATGGTTTTAATTTACTGTATATGGTAATTTAGGGCCTGTTTTTTATTTTATTTTATTGTAAGGAAAAGATAGAACAGAATGGGGTGGGAGAGATGATTTGCAGGAGATCACCAAGGACTTCCAATCCCAATATTAACAATTATATATTTATATATCTATGAGGGTTATCCAGAAAGTAAGGTTACAAGGTACGTAGCAATCACAGGGAATTTTCACAGGGGAAGTTGGTATCACTGCTATGTAGCAGGAAGCTAGCAGAAGCAAACAAGCAGTGCCAGTCGTCAGTAGCTCATCAACTGGTGTTGTAGTGAAGGGTAGAGATGAGCATCCTTATTCTGTTTCCCTCCTGACTGTCTCCTTCATGACAATGTGCGTCCGCACACCGCTCATGCAACACACAAGAGTTGTTGACTTCATTGGGTTTAAGCCACCTCTCTTACAGCCCCGATCTCACATCCAGTGACTATCATCTGTTCACTAAATTGAAGGAACATCTGGGTGGAAAACACTTTTCTGATGACAAGGAGGTGAAAATCGAAGTGATGAACTGGCTGAAAAAAGTGGAGGGAAACTTCTAGGACATGGGCATCAAAAACTTGTCCCACTGATGACAAAATATATTGAACTGAATGGTGATTATGTGGAAAAATAATGTAATACCTATGCGACAATCCATGTTAAGTTTTATTAAAATATAGTCATTCTTTGTATTTTTAAAAAATCTTGTAACCTTACTTTCCGGATAACCCTTGTATATCTATATTTATTTATCTATCTATGTATCTAAATTAGGCTTATTACATCAACAAGGCTGGTGGAAAAATAGAAGTAAATTTGTATTGTCGAAGGCTTTCATGGCTGGAATCACTAGGTTCTTGTGGGTTTTTTCGGGCTATAGAGCCATGTTCTAGAGGCATTTCTCCTGACGTTTCGCCTGCATCTATGGCAAGCATCCTTAGAGGTAGTGAGGATCCTCACTACCTCTGAGGATGCTTGCCATAGATGCAGGCGAAATGTCAGGAGAAATGCCTCTAGAACATGGCTCTATAGCCCGAAAAAACCCACAAGAACCTAGAAGTAAATTTGTTTGTGAATACAAATCCCTGGAATCCGCATGTTTTGCATCTTGGCTAAGGCTGGTAGAATTTGCAATTCTCATAAAGAACAAAGAAAATTCCACAACCTAAAGGCTGGTAGAATTTTCAGTTCTCATAAACAACAAAGAATATCCCGCAACCTAAAATATTTCCAACTAATTAAACCGATCCATGATTCCTGGGCAGTGAAGCCCTAATGGACCATTTAACTTTTTTCCAAGCTTCTGTATTTCTCATTAGTTCAGAGACTTCAAGGAAATGCACATCCCTCTTATTCTTCCCAGGCAACCCTCTCTGTCAAGTTTACCGTCCTGTTCTCTTCAACTCCTCACTGACATGCTGGTGGCCATGGCCATGGCCATGACCATGCCGGTCATCCATCATAGATTTGTTCCCATTAGAGTGAGGACTCCATTCACGGAGGTGTAAGGAGAGCCTGGAAAGCAAAGCGATGCATTTAAAAGTAGATCTGTCCTTGTGTAGAAATGAGTAGCCATTTATTCTTCTTCAGCTGAACCTACCGTTCGTATGCTACTCTCAGACTCCAGTCATTCCCAAAACCACAACTAGTGTTTCCAACAGTTTTTGGAGATGATTGAAATACTGGGAAAGCTCAACAACTGAGCACCAAATGTGGTATATTGAATTAAACTCTCTAGAAACCACACTATAAACGAAGCCTGCACAACCTTTGGCTCTTCAGATGTTTGGAACTTTTGTCCCCAGAAGCCCTAGCTAGATTGTCTAATTGTCAGGAATTCTGGGAGCTGAAGTCCAAAACACCTGAAGGGATAGAGGTTGTGTAGATCTGCCATGAATAATGAATGGGCTTCTATCATCTGCTCCAAGTAGTCATCTTAATACAAGTTCTTACTAAAATAAAACAGATTGGTTTGTGACATCCAGAAGACATATCCAATTCTCCAGGCCTTTCCCTGAAAATTTCTAGCCAAGGAAATGATCTCAGATTGACCAGTATTTCAGCAGTGTCCTCTCAGTACGAATTCCACTCCATAGATACCTCTTCTGTGGTGAAGGTAAGCATTTGGGGGGAGCAATTCGGGTAGTTGGGTCCCATTTTCCTGGAGGTAAGACAGTCAGCTCATCCATAAACTCATCAATTCCTGCGATGAGATCTCCTCTGCCACTTGCTTTCCTGGCAACTCTCTGAAAAAGCTGCAAGAGAATAGGGTTAGTTCCAGCCCTGCCTTCAGGAAAGCAGAGACAACCTCGGGCTTTCTGTTGAACAGAGAATGATATTCAAGAGAAATGCAAGGGCTTGCTTTGGATTTGGTTGCCATAGAATACAAAAGTTAGAGAGAATCTTGCAGAACCTGACACTGTTAAGGAGTGAGGAATGTGCGGGCCTTCAGATGTTGTTGGATTAAAACTCCCATTAGTCCTAAACAGCATATAGCCAATCATGAACAATGGTAATAGTTGCAATTCAAGAATTTCTGGAGAATTGCATTTTGTCAACTCCTAATCAACTCTAACTTTGTGGTCAATACAGGGTCTGCAATGTGGGATACAGCTATAATAGGACTGTGGAAAAGGCCCACACGGGCATAGCCAAATATATGAATTTCCCTTCCTGACTCTTGCCTGTTGGGAGAGTGAATATATCTTTGGGTTATTTGTCACATTTTCATGGTTCCTCCAGCTTTGACAGGACTAGGTTATCCCTAAGCTTTGGTACCCCATGCACTACTAACACTCAAAACTCACCTCATCTGTCAGGAGAGTAGCCACAGCTCTGCCAATTTCATGATAGGCCTTCATTTTGGCTCTTGGACCCAATAGGATGAAGAGGAACCTAGACAGGGCCACAGAAGAGGCATGGGTGTATTCACTGCTGCCAAAAGTGAACAAGTGATTGATCTTACTAATCCCATCCTTAGCTAAGTAGATGTTGGCACTGGGGACTTTTACCTGGAACCTTTATCTTGCAGGAATCAGGATACCAATTAGGCTGAAGACCCAACCTTTAGTCTCCTGCAAGGCTACTGACCTGGAACAAATGACCTGAAGAACCAAGTCAGATCTAGCTCGCTCTAGACATTTTAGGATTGGTTCACCAGCATGGGATCCAATCTTTTGCTTTGGCCTTCTTGATCTGGAATCTGACTACCAGTTATGATTTTGCGTGCTGTTTCTCATTTGGTTCTGAAATGAAGTTCCCCTCCTGTTTTCTGTCTCTGTCTTAACCAAATGTGCCTAGCTCAGCACTTGGCCAAGGCCTGACAGAGATGGATTGGGTCCTCTTTAGCCTACACACAGTAATGAGGGCTTGCCTCGGCTAGCTGTACTCTCCCTAAGGATGGTCAAAATGATATCTGCTCAGCTCAAAAGCTATACTTCACACATATTGAGGGAGATATTTCAAAATGATCAGAATGGTGGCCTCATTGAAGCCAGTGAATTAATTTCAACACCTCTTCCAATAATAATAATAATAATAACAACAACAACAACAACAACAACAACAATTTATTTGTATTCCACCCTATATCTCCAAGGTGACTCAGGGTGGATTCCAGCATACTCAAACACAAAGGCAAACATTCAATGCCTAGAAACAACCAAACACAGATAAAGGTAAAGGTTTCCCCTTCCAGCTCTGGGGTGGTGGTGCCCATCCCCATTTCTAAGCCAAAGAGCCTGCATTGCCCTTAAGACACCTCCTAGGTCATGTGGCTGGTATGACTGTTTGGAGCACCATTTACCTTCCTGCCAAGGCAGTACCTATTGATCTACTCACATTTGCATGTTTTTGAACTGCTAGGTTGGCAGAAGCTCAAGCTAACAACCAGAGCTCACCCTGTCCTGCGGATTTGAACTGCCAACCTTCTGGTCAGCAATTTCAACAGTTCGGCAGTTTATTCCATTGCACCTAGGCACTTTGGAGTTGCTATGCTAAAAATACTAATAGGTATCCCTGGTGGCACAGTGGGTTAAACCACTGAGCTGCTGACTGGAAGGTTGGTGATTCGAATCCAGGGAGTAGGGTGAGCTCCAGCTGTTAGGCCTAGCTTCTGCCAACCTAGCAGTTCAAAAACATGCAAGTGTGAGTAGATCAATAGGTACCACTTCTGCGCAAAGGTAACAGCGCTTCATGCAGCCATGCCAGCCACGTGACCTTAGAGGTGTCTATGGACAACACCGGCTCTTCGGCTTAGAAATGGAGATGAGCACCATACTCCAAAGTCGGACATGATTAGGCTTAATGACAGGGGAAACCTTTACCTTTACCTATCCATGCATTAGTGCAAGTAATTCAGGCCTGTCACCACCTTTTCCCTCTTTTTCCGAAAGCCTACGCAGTAGTGGAGATGGGATAGGGAAAAACGTAGCCACCCATTCTTCACTAGAACATGGACAATGTATTTAATTTGCAATGGCAACCTGATTCTAAGAACAGCAGGCCATTTGCTTCCCTCCAGCATCTTGGCAGGACATCTACTGTTCTGCTAGACGTCCCATGACCAGCCTGCTTGCTTGCCTGCCCACGTGCTGATTACCTGCTGGGAAAAGCAACCTCTGTCAGGTTTCCAAGGAGCACCGACTGCTGCAGGCGCACAAAAGCAATGAAGGGCTTCTCCAGAAAGCTGGCTTCTCCTACAAGAATGTTGGCCACTTCAGTCCCAGCTGGAATCTTCTTCTTGAACTTATTTTTGAGCTGCAGTGAAAGAAAGTGACTGAATAGTTCTGGGAAGTGAACTTTTCCCTGCCAAACACTCATTTTTTAAATGGATTGGACATTTTGTTAAAAAAACAGACAACACCTATTGTAGCAACGAGAATGCAACATCCAAACTAAAATATTGCATTGCTGTAGGAAAATGGGGGCAAAGAGGGGATTAAGAAATGAATTGATATTAGTGTTCAAGGGCTTTGCTGGTGTTTCAGTGTATTGTATATACACATTCATGATGCCACAGACATGTTTTTGATTGTTGTTGCTGCTTAATTATAAAGAGCATCATTTGTTTGTCTCATCAAATTTCCAGAGCTGACAGAAGCAGGGATAATTTTCCAAAGCTAAGATGAGAGAATAAGACAGGATCAAAAGGGATTCTTGCAATAAGAGAGAATATTGGATTGTTGTAGGTTTTTCGGGCTGTATGGCCATGTTCTAGAAGCATTCTCTCCTGATGTTTTGCCTGCATCTATGGAAAGCATCCTCAGAGGTTGGCAGGGACAAGAGACAGGGCCTTCTCGGCTGTGGCCCCCCACCTATGGAACACACTCCCAAATGAGGTAAGATCTGCTCCCTCCCTCCTGGCTTTCAGAAAAAAATTAAAATCATGGTTTTGGGACCAAGCCTTTGGGAAGTAGAAGTAAATGTATGCAGCATTTTGGAAAGACAATGACTGGAACGGCGATTTGACGGACTAGACTGTTTTATTGTTTTAATTATTGTTTTATTGCTCATGGATATATTTTTTAATTTAATTTATTCTAATTGTAGTGTATAATTGTAATTGTTTGTACTGGCATTGAATGTTTGCCATTACTTATGTGTAAACCGCTTTGAGTCCCCCTTGGGGTGAGAAAAGCAGTATACAAATACTGCAAATAAATAAATAAGTTAAATTAAAAAGATTGATAACTTGATTTTGCCTTGTACACCGCCTCAAGTCACCGGAAGGCTGAGAGGGGAGGTATACAAATATAGTAAATAAATAAATAAAGTAAATAAATAATTAAACTAACTAAGTAAGTAAGTTTTCTTTTGTTTTGTCATGTCAGGAGCGATTTGAGAAATGCAAGTCGCTTCTGGTGTGAGAGAATTGGCCGTCTGCAAGGACGTTGCCCAGGGGACGCCCGGATAATTTAATGTTTTTATCATCCTTGTGGGAGACTTCTCTCATGTCCCCGCATGAGGAGCTGGAGCTGATAGAGGGAGCTCATCCGTCTCTCCCGGATTTGAACCTGTGACCTGTCGGTCTTCAGTCCTGCCAGCACAGGGGTTTAACCTACTGCGCCACCAGGGGCTCCAGTAAGTAAGTAAATGAATAAATAAACCTCTGAGGGTGCATGCCATAAATGCAGGCAAAATGTCAGGAGAGAATGCTTCTAGAACATAGTCATATAGCCCAAAAAACCTATAACAACCCAGTGATTTCAGCCATGAAAGCCTTCGACAATACAGAGAGAATATTGTTCCACAAAGTTTTTTTTCCGTGTCAGGAGTGACTTGAAAAACTGCAAGTTGCTTCTGGTGTGAGAGAATTGGCCATCTGCAAGGGAATGCCCTGATGTTTGAAGTTTTACCATCCTGTGGGAGGCTTCTCTCATGTCCCCGCATGAGGAGCTGAAGCTGACAGAGGGAGCTCACCCCGCTCTCCTCGGATTTGAACTGCTGACCTGTCAGTCAGCAGTCCTGCTGGCACAAGACTTTAACCCATTGCACCACCAGGGACTCCAATGTGAAGACCTGAGAGCTTTGGGAGCATTTTGCAATATACTCCATCTTTCTGTGATTAACAAATGTTACTTACCTGCTCCTTTAAAGGGATTTCTGAAATCTCACTCTTTGCATCTGTGTGGCTATTCAATTTGTCTGCAACAGAATATTTTAAAAAATCAATCGAAGAAGAAATGCTAGACGATTCCTTCATATGAGATCACACAAATCTTTTTTCAGCTTTGTCCTTATAAACATTGGAAGTCTTTATCATCATTCGTGAACAATGCCCTCTTAAAGAAGAACGAAGATGGAAGAAAGTCTCCAACCTGGAAAATGTCTTCAATGAGACATCTTATGATGGGTCTCCTGAGGTCTGGTCAGTGCACAGAATCTTTTCATGTAGCACCAACTGTATTGCAGTCCAAAATGACCACTGTCTTGTGCCAACCTTGATGCTGCCTTGCTGGCTTCCTGAGCCATCAGAATTTTTGCTGAACCTTACTGTGTGGCTTAGCCACTTAGCTAATGCATCTTAATTCAGCATTACAATGCTTGGTTTATTTATTGAACACTTTGCTATGATTGGATTGCTATTTCTTTTACTCCAGAAATTTTCAATTAATGGCGCTACTCATTGTGCAGTTATTTCTTGCTGTGCTTTACTTCACAACATAAGGGGCAAAGAGTTTGGTATGCTAAGATTTGTGTACCAATGCAATCCTTACATTCCTGCCTAGAAGTAAGTCCCATTGAGATGAAAGAGACCTTCTACCAGGGATGTGTGTACAGCAGTATTACCAGTTCAGAATCATACAAGGCTCCCAGATTTCCTGGTCAAAATCTCAGATCCAAGGATAACCATGGAGATGTCATTACATTACATACTATCCACAGTTGTCCCAAGGCTGTCATCAAAACCCATATGTACAAAGAGAGCGGGGAAGAACACAAAATATAATCTCATGTTTGGGAATTAATGTAGAATTTTTAGTTAAAGACTTCTCTCAGGTCAAGATCAAACGAGGATATTGGGTTGCTGTGAGTTTTCTGGGCTGTATGGTCATGTTCCAGAAGCATTCTCTCCCGACGTTTCGCCCGTATCTATGGCAGGCACCCTCAGATGTTGTGACGTCTGTTGGAAACTAGGCAAGTGAGGTTTATATATCTGTGGAATGTCCAGGGTGGGAGAAAGAACACTTGTCTGTTTGAGGCAAGTGTGAATGTTGCAACTGACTAACTTGATTAGCATTGAATGGCCTTGCAGCTTCAAAATCTGGCTGCTTCCTGCCTGGGAGGGATTATTTCTTCTCAGGTTCTCAGCGACATGGAATAAGGAGCATTTAATGTACCATATTTAATTGCACAGTGATGCTCCATCCACCCACATAGGTGCACATTCAAAGGTACCCATGCCAGGGGGTGATGGTTCACCCACCCGCATGACTGTGTGCCCTTGCCAAAAGGGAAAGAGGGCAGGTGTGGGTGGTGCGAATTCACACACACACAAACACACACCATCTATCTTATTTTTGTTTTGGAGCAGTGGGGCTTGGCTTGAGCCAAGTCAAGCCCAACAGCACCAAAATGGCAGTCGCACCCTTCATTCACTTGCCTGGGTGAGTGAACTAAGGGTGTGACGATTATGCGGGGAATAGTTAAAGTCCAATTTGGCCTTCCCCAAAGAGGGAGTGTGACCATTATGCGATAGCGACTATTATGCAATGAAATACGGTAATCTACTTGCTTCTAGACATAAAGTAAATGCAAACAAGCGTGGATTGGGAGCCCTGGCACCACAACAAATGGGAAGGCAGAAGAAAGCTAGCTAAGTAAATACTTTGGTCCCTGGAGAGTCTTTGGAAGTGGTAGCAACCAGTCAATTAAGCCTTGCAAACTTTAGCTGTCTGCTGGTCTATAACTGATCTGGAGATTAGCATACAGCTCTTCCTTCTCGCCTGGAGCTGTATCTTTTGCACCCTTGTCTTTGGCCTCTGAAAACTGGAGACGCAGGGCCAGATTGTGGCAACCCCAGGACAGAATAGTAGCTTAGATCACTGGTCTCCTAGTGACATCTCCAGCATATCCCTTGTTTGGGTATCAGCCAGCATGTCAACTACTTAAATCAAGAGTTTTCTAAGATCTACAGAGACACTCGCTGGAACACCTCAGCAAGCGAGAGTCCAAAAGTGGCAGGCTCAAACCCAGAACCTCGATCAATAGCTGATACCAAATGAGAGACTCCCCCTGGGCACACAGAAAACTGGGCAACTTGGAAGGTGCTGAACAGACTGCTCCACCAAATAGGTATTCCTCTTTTTATTGCTATATTACCACTTATCTGCCGTATACCAGTGCTAAACTACACCTTCAAAGGTGAATGTGTTCTTAGCTCCAGGCTTGAATTGGCCCCTCTTATCACTGAGATTGTGTGCTCTTTCAGCATAGTGCTGAACCTTTCTAGTCTGCTCCAAGTGAGATTTAAGTGAGAGAAGGAAGAAATGCAATGGTCACCTACCAGAGCAGCAGGGGCCTGAACCCATCTCCACCAGCATCATCAGCTGAGATTTGGTTGTATGGTGTTGAGGTCTCAGAAGCAATATGTGGGCGAGTTTGTTCAAATGCTCTGGCCTGAGCGCATGGTTCTCAATCTGGTTCTCCATTATCTTCTCTTGAAGAAACAAATGAACAGAAATTAATACACAGAAGTCTCCTCCTTTCTTTTGCCAATATTTGGAATTTGCTGGGTTCCACTTATGATCAGTTGTCTGCCTTTTAACAAGCCATGGCTATTGCCATAATAACAACGTAAAAAGCAATGGCATCATTTGAGGGTGTGTAAGAGGTATAGACCACATCAGATGACACCTTCAGAGGGGATGACACCAAAATGTCTGTCTAAAATGTTTGGCAGTGTTTCAGTAGAATTTGTAAAAAAATAATAATAATAATCCTGTACTGTAACATCATAAATTTTTTTTGCAAACCCTGCTTAGCTTATCAAGATACTTGCAAGCCCAAAATGTAATTGTTGAAGGCTTTCATGGCTGGAATCACTGGGTTGTTGTAGGTTTTTCGGGCTATATGGCCATGTTCTAGAAGCATTCTCTCCTGACGTTTCGCCTGCATCTGTGGCAAGCATCCTCACAACCTCGGAGGATGATTGCCACACATGCAGACAAAAGTCAGGATAGAATGCTTCTAGAACATGGCCATACAGTTCGAAAAACCTACAACAACCTGAAGTGTAATGCTTGTTTACTTTTTTAACTTTCTAATGTGCATGTACTTTGAATCACATGCCACTTCATCACATTTACTAAATTCCACCGAGTCCTACACTTGAAACCTGACAAACCACTGTGTTTATCACATTAGGTTGGGTTCAAGTGTAGGATAGAGCATTCTTTCTGTATTTTAAGTGTGTGTGGGGGGGGGCACTATTCTTTTCAAACGTTTCAGGAGGTGGTTGGGAAGTGGATTTTTGGGGAATTATCCAGATGAATGGCCATTTCAGTAATGTGATGGCATTCGTTGCTCTCAGGATTAAAATGAGACATTTCCCCAATTTGTAGGAGGGAAAATTGTGGGACGAGTCCAGATACCCTCATCAGGGAAAGTTAGGGGAAGTTCATGCTGTGCAGTTCAGGGAGTTATAGTTTCCCAAGGTCCATACCCTTCTCTGGTTGCATTTACACTATGGAATGCATGCTCTTGGACACCACTTTAAATAGCATAGCTCCGTACTATGTGTTCCTGGAAGTTATGGTTTCACAAGGCCCATATCCTTCTCTGAGTGTATCTGAACTGGAGAATAAATGTAGTAGGGACACATTATTATTATTATTATTATTATTATTATTATTATTATTATTATTATGCCATGCCTCCATGCTGTGCAGTCCTGGGAGTCATTGTTTTCCAAGGTCCATATCCTTCTCTTGGTGCATTTACAATATGGAATGAATGCCCTTGCACCCCACTTTAAATGCCTTGGGAGTTATAGTTTCTCAAGGTCCATGAACCTTCTCTGGTGTATCTACACTGTGAAATGAATGCAGTTGGACATTACTTTAAATACCATACCTCCATACTATGCAGTCCTGGGAGTTATAGTTTCTCAAGGTCAACACCCTTCTCTGGGGCAGTTGAGAGAGAGAGAGAGAGAGAGAGAGAGAGAGCATATCACCACTTTCCCTCCCTCCCTCCCTTCCTCCCTCTACTTGGTTGTTTCCTTCCTCAGTGGGGCAGCGAAGAGAGGTGGTCGGGGCCAAATCTCTACAGTATGATGGCAAATCAACTGAAAGAATACGGAGTACAACTGATAGATTTAACAGTGTGATGACGGTAGGGAAATCAATAGTTTCATTTCAACACAGACTTTGACTGAGCTCTACTCTGCCATACACTTCCCTGCTTCAATGTGATGAAGTCCATGGTTTCATTTGTCTGCCAATGAGCTACAAGCATGCACATTGTTTTCTTGTTTTTGTTGCTGCTGTTTTTCATAATCACTCATTTTATAAAATATTCTGGTATTTCAGCTACAATACAGTGGTCTACAGGAGGAGGTCCATGAGGATTACACCTAGTAAAGCATGGAAAATTCTGCACTAAGTTGAACTATTATAATGCCACCTGACTAGTAACTTTCCCACTTTGTTCCTGAATATCATTAAGCAAAGTCACTGTTTTCCTTCATAACAGAAGGATGGTGAGAACATAACTAGAAAATGATTTTTTTAAGAGATTAAAAATTGTTAGCTAGCACTAGACCTCCTAGTAGTAGGTGTCTATTTCAAATTGCCCACCTCTAAGCTTAACTGACCAAGCTCAGGTTCTCACTCCTGCCCGCTGTTTCTTTAAGAGGCAATTCTACAAAACAAGAAGAAATGCATGCATTCAATTTGGAGGAAATGTATTCAGGTTGGGGCCCAGAAACTAATTGAAAGAGCTTTGCTCTCCATTTTCTTCTTAACGGTGTTATTTCTTAGAGCCAGATGTTACTCTATTTTTGCTTCCCATCTTCAAACCTACGGCAGTATTAGTAAAATGCAGAAAGAATATTACTAGCTTATTTCTTCACCCCATGCATAATTTTAATTGGAAAGATTGTTCTTTAAAGCATGCTTAAATAATTTAAATGCATCTCTACCACCACCACCTCTTGTATGCTGTTTTCTTTAAATTAAATATTCCCGAAAATGGAAATACTATTTCCTCATAGGGGAATTTTTCTAATTGGACCCTTTGATCATTTCGATTGCCTGTTCCCGCATCCTTTCCCATCTGTTCAATGTTTTCAAAGGTGGGCAGCTAGAGCGTTCCCATAGCATTTCAGCTCTCACTTCACTGCAGGTGTTTATAGAATTGCTATGATATCAACAGTTTTATTTTGGATTTCTCTTCTAGGGAAAGCTTTTAAAAATCATTAATGCTTATTGGGTTGTTTTTTTTTTAATGAACCATTCACTACTATCCAAAGATCACTTTCTTGGTCTCTGTGGTACTTAAAATGGGCATGGGGGCTTGTCCCAACATGTATCACTTTACAATGATTTACTGCAGGGGTTTGGGGGGAATTGACCTTGATTCTTGGGAGTTGTAGTTCACCTTCATCCAGAGGTACAATCACCCCCACCAACAACGGACCAGGACCAAACTGGGCTCAGAGAACCCCCATGACCAAATGACCATGTTGCAGGGGTTTGGGGGGAATTGACCTTGATTTTGGGAGTTGTAGCTCACCTGCATCCAGAGGTACAATGACCCCCACTAACAAAGGACCAGGACCAGACTAGGCTCAGAGAACCCCCATGACCAACTGAACATATTGCAGGGGGTTTTTTTTGAGGGGGGGGGGGAATTGACCTTGATTTTTTGGGAGTTGTAGGTCACCCACAATCAGAGACCACTGAACCCAGCTGACATTGGATCTGGACTAAATTTGGAGCATAGACCCAACATGGTCAACTGTGAATATAGGCAGGGTTGGGGAGTAATTGACCTTGGAGTATGGAAGCTGTAGTTCACTCTGAGAGCCCTCTGAATCCTACCAATGACTGACCTGGACTATACTTGGTACACAGACCAAATGAGGCCAACTTTGAATACTGACAGGATTTGGGGGTGATTGACCCACGATTTTGGGAGTTGTAGTTCACCCACATCCTTATGCATTTCTAATGGAAGCATTCATAAATAACAAAAGGAAAGATTGACTTTTTTCAAATAAAAAGTATTACAAATTACCAAACTGATATTACCAAATATTCAGAAACAAAATATTCCCTTTTCAAATGACTTGGGCATCGCCGGGTACCCACGCTAATAAAAGTGTCCATCCAAAGAAAGAGTTTCCAACACATTCCATTCTAATATATTCTTACTATTTTATGGACTCAACCCTTAATACCCCAAAGTAGTGTGTCTAAAGCTGTAAAGAAGTGGGGGAAACCTACATCTCCCTAATCTCATTGCATGTAACGTCCACCATAAGATTTCAACAAAGAATACAGGGAAGGGATAGTGGGTGGATGGGGCCAAATCTCTACAGTGTGAGGCCAAATCCACTGAAGACTACTGAGTACAACTGAGTAACACAGATAGATTTAACAGTGTGATGAAGGTAGAAAAATCATCCATTTCATTTCAAAATGAAGTATGACTGACTATGACAAACATACTCTACCTAACAGTTCCCTGCTTCAATGTAATGAAGTTCTTACACTAAATTTCATTTGCCATTATTGCTCACCCATGCGATTGGAGATTACAACTTTCAGTGAAGTGTTCATGCCCCTGAATAATGTTGTACCTTTACCAAGGTAGAGTACCCCTTATTACTCAACACTAACTCCAGATCATTGTTAAAATTGCACCAGTTCTCACAAAGATCCCCAGACAAAAGTTTTGCAAGAATTCCTGCAGTGCCAAAATCCATGGTAAGTATGTATGTCTTACAAATTGGACTGCTCCTTGAAGAGTTGTTATTACCATTGTGAAAGACAGGCATGTCCTTTGAAAGGAGGGTTGATCTTTTCACACGTACTACATACCAACTATTTGCTTAAAACTGTGTGCTTCCAGGTCTAGTAAGATGGCCCCTTTCCTTATACATGTACGCAGCTCAAATAGACTATGAAGGGACAGGGTGGTCACATGAGGCTTGCTCCAGCGCTCTCCTCCATCTTCCACTTTCTCTTCAAATTTTATCCACCTGCAATGGAAAAAATTACTTCTTTCAGTAACAGAGCAACAAGAAAAAGACTTTATTATGGTCCATAACCAGCACAGAGTAAGAATAATATAGCAGGTTATCTATTTTCTGTGGTTGACTAAGGCATAACATCTTGGTTGGATGTCTTTTTATCATCTATAGCTACTAGGCATGCGTGATCCATTAAAATGGTTCTAAACTCCTTCCAAAAATAGGGGGTGCTGGCACTTTGTTTCTAAAGTCTTTCTGAATTTTGGGTGGTGAAAATTTAGGAACTTAACAAAACTTACAAATCTTTGTAAGCACTTTGTAATTGGCGGAAGCGATTGTGCAATAGGGAAGACATTCACTGTCAATGGGGAAACTTCAGGCTTCTTTCATCCTCATTTTTTGAGCCATCCTGATGAAACTTGATACAGTGGTAGAACACATTTACCACTGTTAGCCCCCCAAATTCCAGAACGTTTGAGTTATCCATGTAGTTTTGGCAAATTTTCCAATTTTTTAAAAATAAAAAAAACATTTTTAACAATAAGGAAATCCTGTTTCTGGCTTGAAAGTGTTATTTCCTGTTTCATTGTGTGGTCTTTACTTTGAAAGTAGTTGTTCTACTGCATAATCTTTGTTTTTGTGGCAGAAACTGCATAAAATTGGTGGAGACTCAACAAAGCAAAATGTACTGCTGCCTCCTATATATAGGATGATGTCCCTTGAGTGAAGACAAAGTTTTGGTAGTTTAATAAACTTTCACCATGTTTTTATGACAGAATCAATTAGGAAATGCCATTTATAACTCAGGAACAGAAATCATAGTACAGACACCAAGGGACATCTAGATTGACCCCCTTCTTCCAGTCAGTAAGACACCATCCAAACTCTCCTGACATCCATTTGCTTCCTCTATTGAGTTGGAGGAGTCCCTCAAGACACATCTACATAGGTCATTACTTTTTTTTACAACCCAGCACAGAGATAGGCTTAGAGTAACGAAGTAAGATGGCATGGAGACAGGATCTGCTAGTTTTTTAATGGGTGAGTGTAATTTTATTAAAATACTATTATATTTACCCATCAAATTAATTCAGCTTTCATTGATTGTGGGAGAGAAGTGGTTAGGGAGAATTAATGGAATCTGGGGGTGGAAGTCATCCTAATTTTATATCCTGTATGAAGTTAATAGTGTGTAGAAGCCCACACAAGTAGGGAAGCAGATATTAGGATGAAGCACTGGCCCATATTAAAGTTGGTCTAGGACAAGAAGGCAAGAGTGGTCTAATACTTCTCCTCTGAATGCATTAAAGCTTGTAATTTGCTCTCTATCTTTCCTTTATTCCAGAACCTGTCTGCCTAGATGGGACGCCTCCTTTTATCAGACACACTTGGCTCTTCCATCCAACCCTAACCTGTCCAATTGTGGCCACCAGCATTGAGAGGGAAAGGAGTGGAGAGCCGTAAATCCATCAAGACTCAGCCTGAAGCTGGATCTAAACTGTCCTATATTCGAGGATCAGATCTCAGAGTATCTGCTTTTGTAAGCCGCCCCGAGTCCCTTCAGGGAGATGGTGGTGGGATATAAATAAAGTTATTATTATTTGAAACACAACAAGATTAGTACACAGCAAACAAGATCACTATGCTGGTTGTTGTATTGGATCATACATCGGACACTACCCAAGTGTCTAAGGCTGTGTGATGTATCGGTGAATAATGTATGCAGATCCCAGTAGACTGGCCTTTCGCAGCTGACAGATGGTAATTTTGTTAGTGCTGATTGTGTTCAAGTGCAGGCCAAGGTTTTTAGATACTGCACCCAGTGTACCAATCACCACAGGGACCACCTTTACTGGCTTGTGCCAGAGTCATTATTATTATTATTATTATTATTATTATTATTATTATTATTATTTAGTGTAAACTCATATAATCCATTTCAAGCCAGACAATCTGAGATCAGATCCTGGGATATAGAGCAGTTTAGATCCAGCCTGAGCTCCTGGTCTTTGCAGCTATTTTCAGAAAGGGAGAGGGTTGCTTGGCATTTCTACAAGCAGCAGATTGATCTTGTTGGGGATGGATCACATTATCAGACATCACATGAGGATTTGTTTTTTCCGTGTCAGGAGCAACTTGAGAAACTTTCACATGACGGTGAAAGTGACAGTTTTATTTCCGGTTCATTCAAAGGGTAAAGACTTTACATTATAATTATAGCCCATCAAGGTGTTATAACTTTGAATACTCAGGTAGGAACCAGGGAGTAAGTTGAAGTCCTCAACCTTTGGAAGGTTATGAGAAGTACAGGGGTAGAGTGTGTTCCAAGGTGAATTTGGTTGAGCATTTGCTCCTTAAGAAATAAGTCTTTGATTAACTGCGGTGACCAATTTCCTGTGGATTTAAATTATGCAGTAATATGATCACACTAGAGAATGAATCCACTTAAAATCCGGTTTCTGCTTCCTGCAGAATTCTGAGGTTTGTAGTTTAGGGAAGATCCTTTAACAGCCTCACTAAACTACAAGCACCAGAATTCTTCAGGAGGCAGAAACCAGATTTTAAGTGGATTTTTTTTCTCTAGTGTGATGAAGTAGATGTCTGTGGACAACACCCTGAGGAAAGAGCCATTATCTGAATGATTGGAGAAAGAGAAAATGAGGCATGAAGCAACTGTTGGACAATGAGCACGTTAGGTGAGCAGAAGGGAAATTATACACAGCCCCTGCCCTGATACAATACATACCCCTCTGCAATGTCCTCAGGAGCTTTGCTAATTTACCCTTCATTCTTGAGGGCTATTGGTCTGTGCCCATGTACATAATAACACAGGCATCCCCAAACTGCAGCCCTCTAGCTATTTGGGCCTTTAACTCTCAGAACTCCTGACAATTGAACAAGCTCATTAGGACTTTTGGGAGTTGGAGGCCCAAACAGCTGGAGGTCTACAGTTTGAGGATGCCTGTAATAACACATCTATCGTCCAGAGTCAGATAATGATTGACTTGCATTATCAAGAATAATATTGACAAGACAAATTTCTTTTTTCCATTTGTGTCCCACTTGGTTTCTTTGTATAGCACTCATATAAACTTTACTGTTGGTGGATTACCCCTCCACCCTGAATGAGGGGTGTGTGCCCATGGTTGAATAAATGCTCAATGCTGTGGAATCGCGGGAGCTGTCTTGTTAGAAAGTCTCCAGCTTTCTCTGCCAAAGAGCGCTGGGGCCTCATCACACTACAACTCCCAGCATTCCATAGCACTGAGCCATGGCAATTAAAGTGGTGTCAAACTGAATTAATTCTACAGTATAGATGCAATCTAAGTTTCAGTGTTTGGATTTGGTTTTGGATCCTAGAGATGGACTAGATCAAACTGTGGAGCTGAAAACGTTTCTTGTGGAGCCCCAAGAAATGTTTATACATGGTAAAAAGGTAAAGGTAGTCCCCTGACATTAAGTCCAGTCATGTCTGAATCTGGAGGTTGGTGCTCATCTCCATTTCTAAGCCGAAGAGCCGGCGTTGTCCATAGACACCTCCAAGGTCATGTGGCCAGCATGACTGCATGGAGCGCCGTTATCTTCCCGCCGGAGCGGTACCTATTGATCTACTCACATTTGCATGTTTTCGAACTGCTAAGTTGGCAGAAGCTAGGGCTGACAGTGGAAGCTCACACTGCTCCCCGGAATCAAACCTGTGACCTTTCGGTCAACAAGCTCAACAGCTCAGCGCTTTAACCCACTGCGCCACCAGGGGCTCCTTTATATATATAATGTAAATATATCAGGGATGGGCAAACTTTTTGACCAACACACACTTAACAGTATTTCAGGGGAAGACACCAGGGGCTATTTAGTCCAATCTCCTTCTGCCATGCAGAAAAAGCACAATCAAAGCACCCCCAACAAATGGCCATCCTGTCTTTGTAATACTAATAATAATAATAGCAGAAATCCCAGGGGTCATCCAATTCAACTCCCTTCTGCCCTGCAGGAAAAGCACCATCAAAGCACATCCTGAGCAGTAGAAAGGAAAGTGTTTTGAAAGCAAGGAAGGCAAGGGGGAAAGTATCTGGGCAGTAAGGACAGTTGATGAAAAAAGGCTTTTGGGGGCAAGGGAGTTGAGGGGAAAGGGCTTTTGAGGGTGAGGGAGGGGAGGGAGGGGAGCAGCAGGGAAAAAAGGGGAAGTGTGGAGGGAGAGGGAGGAGGAAGGAAGTACAGAGCCCCTCAAGATGCTTTGTGGAGCCCGAAGGGCTCTGCGAACCACACTTTGACAACCAATGGACTAGATAAATCAGAGGTAAAAAAAAGAGGAAATCTGTTCATATTCAGACTCAAATTTGGGGATAACCTCCCTCACTGCAGATTTCTACAGATCTCAAGTAGCGAATTGGACAGAATAGACTCCTGGGGAACATGTAGCATGAATGCTATGAGCTAAACAATAGTTCCCAAACATTATGTCTCCATGCCTTGCTCCTTCAGATAAGCTTAGAACCATCAAAACAGAATACTTTCAAATCCTAATTCAAAGACTATCATGGTCAATTATATGAAAAATGCTGAGAGATCCTAGAGAATTAAAAGTAGTTAACTTCCTATATATCAGTGGTTCTTAACCTGTGGGCCATGGACCACCAGTGGGCCACGAGGACAAAAATCTGGTCCGCGAGCCTCCTTCCTCTTTATTTATTTTATTTCCGATTCCTTTGCGCTGCCTGCCACTCCTTCCCTGTTTCTGACCATGGTATATGTTCTGTATCAGAAACTAGAGCTGATGTGGTCTATCCAATGCAATTTTCTGAATCAGCACCCCAAATAACCAATCTGAATCTAAAGTTGACCAAAAACCGAGTTGTAACCCTTTTGGTACTAATTTTGGAGAGTGGTCCCTGGTCAAAAAAAGGTTGGGAACCACTGCTATATACCTACAGTACTATTAATCAGACTGACCCAGGCAGTGTCAAAGATGATAACAACAACTTTTGTATTAGTGATAATACAGTACCCCCTTCCACACAGCTGTATAAAATCCACATTGAACTGGATTATATGGCAGTGTGGACTCAGTTCAAAGCAGATATTATGGATATATGACTGTGTGGAAGGGCGCTGAGAATGAGCAAGTATCTCCCTCTCCCTGAGTTGCCATATTTTTATTTCCGAAATCGAGGCATTTACATTTACATATCATTTGCTCTTTATGCAAATGATGTGTTGGATCATGAAAAGCTTGACTGATTTCTCACTCAGAAGCATTATAAATGAGAAACAGAAGACTGGGTTATTTTAGCATGTAATGCAGGAGCACAAACTGTAGCTCAATTGTTTTGTGCACATCCAATAATCCTTCTCTTTATGAACACGACTAGTCACAGAGCTCCTTTGTCTTTAAATACTGCAGATGTTCAATAAGTATAGTTTTACTATTTTCTATTTTCTATATTTTAATTATTCGTGTGTACAAAGGTTTTTTTCTTGTTTAATGTCTTTTATGTTAGTTATCAATAAGAATCAACATGCAAATGGTAATTCTACAAATCATAACATTCTGCTTGAAAAATCTAAAATTAGCTAACTGGATCTATTTTCAATCTCATGCCCATATCCTATCTGCAAAACGGAAACAATCGTGTTAACCCGACTCATTACTTTACAGATTCCTAAGTCAATGTAGGCAAAGCATTTGGTACGCTCGCAAAGATCAAACTTCGAAACATTATTGTCTCGAACTAAATTCCAATGAGCATGGGTATGGTAGTATAGATAATAGGTCACTCTAGCCTTTTGGATTACTCAGGCCCCTTCTACACTGTCCTTATATTCCAGGATGTGATCCCAGGTGATCTGCTTTGAACTGTATTATATGAGTCTCCACTGCCATATAATCTGGGATAAGCAGATAATCTGGGATCTGATCACACTCAATCTCAGTCCCAGTAAACCTCATAGTAGGGTCACCTTAGGGTTGCCATAAGTTGAAAATGACTTGAAGGCACACAAGAACAAGAAACAACAATAATGTATTATGTATTGTTGAAGGCTTTCATGGCCAGAATCACTGGGTTGTTGTAGGTTTTTTGGGCTATATGGCCATGTTCTAGAAGCATTGTCTCCTGACGTTTCTCCTGCATCTGTAGCAGGCATCTTCAGAGGTTGTGAGGTCTGTTGGAAACCAAATTTTCCTATTTTCCAACAGATTTCACAACTTCTGAGGATGCCTGCCATAGATGCAGGCAAATCGTCAGGAAAGAATGCTTCTAGAACATGGCTACATAGCCCGAAAAACCTACAACAACCCAATAATGTATCTGCACGAAATAGTTGTATCACATGCATACCGCTTTTACTGCTATGGTTCCATTCTAAGTGTTGCTGGGACATGTAGCTGGGTGGTACACTTAAAAGAAGGAGATGACATTACATGAACTGAGTAGGATTGTTGATGAGAGCATGTACTGGACCCCTTTCATTCATAGAGTTGCCATAAGTCAAAGTCAATTATAAACAGCAACACATTTAGGGCCTATAGACAGACCCAAAACGTGAGACCTGTCTCGCTTTTATAGGAGGTGTCCAAACAATGCCACAGGTAAAAGTTAATTAATGCAGAGTAATTAAAAACCTCATTAGATCTGGGTCTTACTGAAAGACCTGGGTATAATGCAGTATTGGGACTATGGGAACTGACACTGGGACACATAGCCATCCCACACCTTTAGGCGCCTCGAGCCCTAAGTTGTGGGAGGGCTCCTCCCCTCCAGCCCCACACTTACTGTCTAAACTAAACTAAAATCCCAGGAATAAATATGGTAGTTGTCCTAGTGGATACAGTGGAATTATAGTTCTGAAAGGCCCACAGATTTTAGGTTTTTTTTTCCATGTCAGGAGCAACTTGAGAAACTGCAAGTCGCTTCTGGTGTGAGAGGATTGGCCATCTGCAAGGACATTGCCCAGGGGACACCCAAATGTTTTGATGTTTTATCATCCTTGTGGAAGACTTCTCTCATGTCCCCGTAATGTGGAGTTAGATCTGATAGAAGGAGGTCATCCGCACTCTCCCCAGATTCGAACCTGCAACCTGTTGGTCTTCAGTCCAGCTGGAACAAGGGTTTAACCCATTGCACCACTGGGGGCTCCTAGATTTTAGGTGTCTATGTTTCACTGTCTGGGAACTATGGCAAAAATTAGTTCTTATTGTTATAGATGGGAAATGATAAATTTGTGACCTATGAAAGTGGACACTCTCTAGAATATTCCTCAAATGGGCCTTATTTTACATCCTGTTTTTTGGAAGAGGAAGCAGCTATCTTTTATTTCTAATGGCAGAGAAAAAAGATGAGATTTTTTTTTTGTCATGTCAGGAGTGTCCTGTTGTGAGAAAATTGGCCGTCTGCAAGGACGTTGCCCAGGGGACGCCCGGATGATTTTGATGTTTTATCATCCTTGTGGGAGGCTTCTCACATGTCCCCGCATGAGGAGCTGGAGCTGACAGAGGGAGCTCATCCGCCTCTCCCCGGATTCTAACCTGCGATCTGTCGGTCTTCAGTCCTGCCGGCACAGAGCTTTAACCCACTGCGCCACCAGGGGCTACAAGATGAGATAAGAATACTCTATTACAGACTGTGCCCATTGCCCCAAATATCACTCTATTAATGGTAGCTAGGGAAGTGCTCCTAGCCAGGTCTGCTTGTTACAGCACTTTCATATTTGAAATACTAAGCTGCTGCCTAATATTATGCCAACCTATGGGCGCATTAGCCCCACAATTTGACCATTTGTAATACTAGGTAAAGGTAAAAGGTAAAGGTTTCCCCTGACATTAAGTCTAGGCATGTCCGACTCTGGGGGTTGGTGCTCCTCTCCATTTCTAAGCTGAAGAGCCAGTGTTGTCCGTAGACACCTCCAAGTGTGGCCAGCATGACTTCATGGAGCGCTGTTAGCTTCCTGCCGGAGCGGTACCTATTGATCTACTCACATTTGCATGTTTTCGAACTGCTAGGTTGGCAGAAGCTGGAGCTAACAGCAAGAGCTCAACCCGCTCCCTGGATTTGAACCTGCAACCTTTTGGTCAGCAAGTTCAGCAGCTCAGTGTTTTAATCCACTGTGCCATAGGGGGCTCCTATTTGTAATACTATCAACCTTTAACGATAGAGTTTGGAAATCTCACCTTTTGGGCAGTACCTTCTAGAATTCCAACAAGTAGCATTGCCATGTTGTATATACCATTTTGGGAGTTTTAGTCCCAGTAAGTTGACTTTTCTGAGTCCTATCAGAGATCTGTTTAACAGAATATCCTGCAGATAGAGCCTGAGATGTAACCCCTGTGCATGCAACAGGCCGCTGTGCTTTTCCCTGGGTGGGCACTTACCTGGCGGTTTGCCTCCACTCCAATCCTTCAGGGGTATTGAAGAGCTCAGAGAGCTGTATAAATAGCACTGGAGAGCTTGCCTCTTCATTCCCTCCCTCTTCCTCCTGTTTCAGCATAAGGCCGACTCGTTCTGCTGCTGAAGAGATGCTGGAGGTGAAGATACTTCTCCCAACTGCTTGGCAGATCACCACTGAATTTCGGCTGGAGGGCTCCTGGTTTGCACCATGACTGTTGCTCATCCTCTCAGCATCATGAGGGCATGGGTCTTCCATTTTCCCAAGAGGGTGGTGCTCCTCTCTTGAATCCACATTTCTTGCTTTGGTCATGTCCAATCTAGGCAAAAGCCCTTGCCTTCCACACACTTGGCTTGCTGTCCGTGGGTCCCCTCTCCTCTCCTCGGTGAAGAACAGACACTGAGCAGATCAAAGCCATTCTGCTTTTATAAGGGGCTAGAGCTGGTTCAGGCCAAACACAGGACAACACCCCAAACAAATATTGTCAGGTAATGAAGAGCCCTGGCTCTACTCCGGCAAGACCAGCTTGAACTCACCAGGGCAGCTCTATTCTGCCCACCTTGTCACAGGGACTGCCCAACCCACACAGATGAGCCTGGGGCTGCTGCTGCCACTGTTGCTGGTGGGGCTTGTTTACACCGATGTACTATTTGAAGCACTGGCCAGACCCAGGGTAGGACAAGCCATCCTGGGAAGGGGGGAAATCTGAGACAAGAAAAATGTTGAGGATGTAAAGTGGGTGGATAGCAGAAACCTGACACATCTGAACCTTTAAGGTGCTGGAAGCTGGGAGGATTTGCAGGAGCTAGCGACAGAGTTTTTAAATCACAGCCCCCTAACAACTAGAAGGTTCCCAGTATGGAAAAAGGTAGGAACATAGAGGGGAAGGTACAACTTCCAAATTCTATATGACTTCATCAGCATAGCCAGTTCAAGTCTGACACCAGCATCCTCAAGTGTGTAATATGGTCAGAGCAGGCATGTAGCCGGGAGGGGGGGGGGAGGCTTGGGGGGCTTCAGCCCCCCCCCCCAAATTCTCATGGTGGTTTGCGAAAAGGCCTTACTGGTGCATTATTTAAACTGTTATTTTTATTCATATCATGATCCGATCACCATACTCAATATATCCCATATGCATGGGGGTATTGGGGTAACGATAAAAAAGGTTTGCTAGGGTAGACCCTCTTTCACTCAGCCCCCCTCCCCCCGAATCGAAATCCTGGCTACGGGCCTGGGTCAGAGGATTCCCCCTGCTCCTATCATAACCAATGCCCCTAGGAGAAACAATAAGGAGACCTGCAAGCTTAGGACTAAGCATCCATTCCATGACCAGTGATATGATGACTCACTACTTTCATTTATTAGAAAATTAAGAGGTCTTGGTGCTCTTTTTTCTCTTGTGACATTTCTTGGTTTGGATGGTTGTAATAAGTGCTAAGTAAATTCTCAACTACTAGCTTGGCACAGAAAGGGACAGAAGCACACAGGCTGTGACATGAGAAAGCAGATACAGGCATCTAAAAGGAGAAGGAAGATCGTTGGAATATGTTAATGTAAAGCCTCCTGGAAGAATGTGAATAAAGAGAGTATCCACTGATCATAGGCAAGTCACGCTATCTTATCCTCAGAGGAATGCAAAGGCCCGTAACGCTACTATAGAGCAGAAATGACTTGAAGACAAACAAAAACATCAGCAACACCAAAGTCTGATCCATTTTGAACTGGTCTCTGAACATTACATGTATTTGAACATGAAACATACATACCCCTACCACTAGTTGTACCTTTTCATATGAATACCTTGGCTTTTATGGAGCAAAAAGTTTTGATAGAATGGTAACAAATTCTACTGTTTTGGAAGTAATATCTGCAAAGATCTGTTGATTCTGGTACCAAGGATCAAGATGTTGACATTAATACGAATGCTCACTCATTGGTTACACGAGCAAAACAATTTGGACCATTTAAATAATAATAATAACAACAACAACAACAAGCCATTAGAACAAATGCCACCAAAGCCGGAATTGAAAAGTTGATTACAGATCCCAAGTGTAGACTCTGCAAGGAAGCAGATGAAACAATAGATCATATCTCAGCTGCTGAAAAAGATCACACAGAGAGACTACAAGCAGAGGCATAACACTGTTGCTCAGATGATTCATTGGAACTTGTGCCACAAATACCATCTGCCTGCGACAAATTCTGCTGTTTATGTTGGGTAAGTGAGACTCTACTGTAGCTAATTATTATTTCCACAAACTAAGTGAAACTCACCAAGTTTTAAAAAAACAAAACCAAGTTTTATAGAAGAATCAGAAGCAACTTTTATTGAGAATGACAGTTTCTACTTAATATTCTGTTTCATTTTTTTCTGCCCTCACTTGTCCTTTTAAACCACTTTGAACTCTCATTGGTAATAGAAAAAGGAGAGTGGTGAAGACAGTGATGAGTACTACAGTAAGACACTCACTGGAAACACTTAGGACCACCTGCACCTACAATGTGAGCAACAATTCCCAAGGCTCTGGATGCACAGACCGCCATTTCTGTACTCTCTTAGGCTGATGGCAGATGTTGGTGAACTGGAGAGAATCTGTTTCAGCATCCCTTTAACATTCACCTTGAAGCAATTTATTTCCTGGGATCTGAGTAATGAACATAGCAAGAGGAACAGGAGCACCTTCCCATGAGCTGGTGATGACTTCTGCTCAACAGTGCCGCAATGTGGGAAATGCCCCTCCTTTGTGTTGGTAAACATCTCAGTTAAGCCCAGAGTGTCTTGCAAAATTTCCAGGCAGTTGCCAAACTGGAGGCAGTTTGCCAGGCAAACACATGAAATTAAATGAGATACCGGGGGAGGGGGGGGGCAGGATTCCAGGAAGTCACCTGATACTTCTCACTGGCCAACACAGTACACTACTACTGTGATACAAAGCCCATCCCGACAGTACCTTTATTGAGGTATCTACCGCAATAAAGGAGGAGCTGTCCAGACAATGTTCTGGACAGTCCCGAATTAATTTGCCACAAACCAGGAAAACCTTGGTTTGTGGCAAATTAATTAGATAGTGGATTTATTCCGTGCCTTCTTGGAAGGTGCGGGACAAATCCACTACTTCTGGTGTTTGGACTACAGTCCAGATACCATTCCCACAGTTTACTGGGCTAAATAACCCACCCTGTTCCCTGAAGCCCCCAGACCCCTTTGAAAWGTAATGAAAACTTACCCAGCCTCCATTACAGGCTTCCTACAGCTCTCCCAGTGCATAGAAATGACACGCCAGGAGAGTGGGGGGAGGGGGGAGGGAGGAAAATCGCTTCCCCTCCCTGCTCTCCTGGCGCATTACTTCTACACGCCAGTAGAGCTGCTCAATGCCTGTAATGGAGGCCGGGTAAGTTTTAATTACTTTTCAAAGAGGTCTGGGGGCTTCGGAGGAGGGGGTAGGGCCTCCAGACGTTCTCCTGGGCTAGTCCAGGAAGAATGTCTGGACACCCATCCAGATAGCATGCACTTTCTGGTGTTTGTGTAAACAGGCCCCCAAGAAAATCCGTGTTTTTAAAATGTGGATTCTCCTGGGATAACGACCTGTCTGGATCCACCCACAGATTAAGGTATTAGTGGTCAACCTGGTGATCCCACCAAAACTGATATGAAATGGTAAGGTGATAAGTAGGGACTGACCATACCACAAAATGTAAAACAGAAGATGCTGTCTAGAATCTGCACTCTTTAGTTCACTTAAAGCATTTATGATTATTTCTTCATTATGACAAGAGAAAACTCCATGACATGCCAACAGATCATGCAGCAACTGACAAAGCATCTAGTGAAACAAAATATGGATCTGGGTAAGGGAAGCTGCTTCGTGTTTGCTGGAATTTGTAAAAAGAGCATGAGATTCCAATTTGCTGCCACCATTGTTGGCCCTTATGATGTAGAAAGAGATTGGGACCAACACTGTTACTAGGCAAAGTAAGGCCCCTTCCACACAGCTGTATAAAATCCTCATTGAACTGGATTATACGGCAGTGTGGACTCAGATAATCCAGTTTAAAGCAGATATTGTGGATGATCTTTCTTGATATTCTGGATTATATGCCTGTGAAGAAGGGCCCCACTGGCAGTCCACTCAGGTAGCAAATGCTAGAGTACAGCAGAAAGATGATGGTACCCGATAAAAAAAACAGTGCTGAAAAAAAATCAATTTCCAGTCCAACTGCCTTTGATACAATAAATCAGTATAGGTGCCACCTTCTTTGTCTCACAGAACAAAATGTCTTTGGCCAAGTCTGAGTAATATATCTCTTGAAAAGTAAAGATTTATATCCTTCAAAACAAGCAAAATATTTGCTTTTGGGGGAGTCAAGGGACAGTTATTTCTCTTCAACTGGCTTCTAATTTTATAGAGAGTTATCAGGTTACTCTTTGGCAAAAAGTTTCCCTTAAATTACGATTCTTGAGTATCTTTCATTTTTGAGCTCCCGTCCATATGTCAGATTAGGGATCATCTTTTGGTTGTTGGATACTTATACATTTGATGTTGTTGCCTGGAAATGTTTTTACATAGCTTGTATTTATTATCGCTAGTAGCTCCCTTTCTTCTTCTTCTTATTTTGTGGTTTTCACCACACCTTGTTTTTGACATATACAGCCCAGTAGTTATTTTATTGTTGGGGGGTAAATAAGCAGGAGTGCTCTGCCAGTCCCGCCTTGGTCTACCAACAAACAGCGCATGTTGCAAGTCGGCTTAGTCACTGCATTCCCCATGGGATGATACATCTGATATTGCTTCATGGAGAGCATGCAGAACTTCTGCCCATAAAGCGGTCACAGGTGGGGCTCTTGGGTACCTCCACATTGCACAATCTCCTTGGCTCATTCATGGAAATGTACCAGGGTGAAGGGATTTTAGCTGCTATTCTACCCACATTTACCTGTGAGTACTTAGGCGATCCCTCGTTGGCCGAGTAGGATAGTCTTCCAGGATCAGTATTCTTGTGGGTCCGTAGGTGACTGTGGAGCCCTATTCTAGATCTGCATCTTCTTCCACAGTGAGGGCATTGATTTCCAGGTGGAAGGTGGTCTCAGTCAGGGTTGGCTTGATGCACCTTCCTCTTGGCACGTTTCTCTCTTTCACCCTCCATTCGTGCCTCTTCAAATTCTGCAGCACTGCTAGTCACAGCTGACCTCCAGCAGGAGCGCTCAAGGGCCAGGGCTTCCCAGTTCTCAGTGTCTATTCCAGAGTTTTTAAGGTTGGCTTTGAGCCCATCTTTAAATCTCTTTTTCTGTCCACCAATATTCCATTTTCCGTTCTTGAGTTCAGAGTAGAGCAACTGCTTTGGGAGACGGTGGTCATCCGGACAACGTGGCCGATCCAACGGAGTTGATGGCGGAGGACCATCGCTTCAATGCTGGTGGTCTTTGCTTCTTCCAGAACGCTGATGTTTGTCCGCCTGTCTTCCCAAGAGATTAGGATTTTCCGGAGGCAGTGCTGATGGAATCGTTCCAGGAGTTGCATGTGA